TTGCGCTTTCTTTTGGAAGCGCAAATTTGTACTTTTCGCTTGGTTATAGAAAAAAAATCTTGCTCCCTTTTCCAGATACGCAGTGTTAAAGTTTAACAGTTAAACATATATATTTGTATTTGATATATTATTTTAAATAGGTACCTATAAAACTGCGTGAATTAATTTTAAAATACAAATCATATTTCACAAAGTAAATATTTAAGTATTAAAATCAGTTCCTAAACTTTTCCAGGGGAATTTTTAATTGCATTTTTTAGGTTAAACTTATCTCGAGACTTATCTGTATCTTAAAAAGGTGGCAAAATTAAAAACATGTTTAACGAAATTTATTAATATTTTTAAAGTGAAATCAAAATCAAATTTTCTGTCAAGGTAAATTTTTTAAATTTCCTGCACATGGAAAATAAAAATCATGAATGACAAATTAATAAAAGGATTACAAAACTATCGACTGATTTACTATGTATTAAATGTAAAAATTGTGTTGTAAAAGCAACGTTTCAAAAATAAATCGTCCTCTTAAACAAATAAATATAATTTTATTACTCTTTTAAAATCATCTATGCGAATTTATTAGAGGCGATCGCTGTTTCGGGATCAGATATTTTTGTCCGTGAAAAAATTATTAATATCCTAACTAAATTTAAATGGAAAAACGTATTAATAGATTTAATTTTTACACACTATAAAACATTTCCTACAACAGTTTGTTGGTGTACTCTAAAATTGTGGTCAATTCCTTAAATTTTAGTCAAAATAGCCAAAAAAACTAAATGATAACAGTAATAAATCGAATATTTAAGAAAAGTATTTTAGAATTTAAGAAAAGTAGGTATATAAAATTAGGTGTATACATATAAATATGAGTACCAATAAAAAGAATATTTAAATTTAAAAAGTAGGTACTGTTTTATACAGGTGTCCCAAAATCTGAAACCACACAGACCCCCAAAAAATTGTTAAAAAAGTCCATGTTCATTATTTAAAAAGATACATATTTTTTTAACGGCAAATGCCTGAAGTGCTAGTTAATTTTTTAAAAACAATAGTAGAAGGTGTCAAAATGAATTAACCTCGGATTTAACCAAATTCATTATCTTTCTATTTATTTAACGTCAGACAAAAGCAAATAGGAAGTCCCTGCTAGGGACTAATGAAACTAGGGATGCACCGGAATTCCGGCGGTACCACTAAATCCGGCCGATCCGGCCAGTTGGCCGGAACTACCGTTCCGGCCGGATCGCTTTCCGGCCGGAATTTTCGGAACTTTTTGGAAATGTTTAAGTTTTAAATTTTTAATATAATTTAAATTCAAATATATGCAAAAATAAAGAAAATTATTTTAAGGTTTTTTTTAATTGGTGCCTACTTACCTATTGTTAAGTTGTTAATTAATCACAAATAATTGTTTTTTGAACAAAATATATTTTCGACCAGATATATTTTGTAATTGGTCAACAGTGAAGGGTGTGCGTGTTTCCTTGCCTATGATAAACCGGCGGCTGTGGTTCCCCGACTTCTTTTTAATTTTTTTATTATTGGAAGGTGGCTGCCATTCTCCAATTGAATGAGTAGAATTGTTTTAATTTTGTTAACGCTAATTAAAAATTAATATTTAAATAAACAGTAATTTATATCTAGGTAAAATTAATAGTAATAAACACTCTGCATACTGTAGCTAGTTTAAAAAAAAGTAAAAATAAATCAGCCTCAATATTTTCAATGCTTTACGTATAAAAATAGGCCTGCACATACATTTTAAATTTAGGTCCCGATCCGGCCGGAATTCCGGCGATCCGGTCCGGCCAGCGGCCGAAATTCCGGTTCCGGCCGGATCGGCAAAATACCCGATCCGGTGCATCCCTAAATGAAACCATAGATTAAATGTAGGTATAAAAAAAAACTAAACAATATATTATAAGTTGGCCATTTCCTTCTATGAGGATGAAATATACTGCCATAGCCAAGTGGATTAATTCATCCTAATGGAAATGGCCATTTCTCAAGAGTAGAACACTATACTGTTTCTAATGTTATTAAAGGATTACAATTATCACATTTTGTGAATACTCACTAAAGGAATAAATGTCAAATATCCAACAGAAATACTATGACAGAATCTAATTTTAAATTATTTTGTTGATTAAATCATTATTATAATATATTAAAATATTGATACATATGCAAGTTAACCTTATTTTTTGGTTCAAATATATGGTCTATATTAAATATAGACTATACCTATATTTAAACCAAAATAAGGTTAACTTGCATATCAATATTTTAATCATATACCTATTATATCACGAGAACTAGGTATGAATTTAATCGGTTAAACTAGGCTCAGTAGTTTTTTGTTTGGTTTTTCTTGGAAAATGTTGAATGCAAAATAATTTAATAAAATCACGAGACCGCGTAGCGGTCGAGGGGTTTTATTTTTTATTATTTTGCATGAAACTATTTTCCAAAAAGAAAAATCAAATAAAAAACTTACTGAGCATAGTTTGACAGATTAAATTTATAGGTTGAGTGATATACGTCTAGATTATTTCTCGAATTAAAGGAAACTATTTGACAATTCATAAAATCTGACGTACATATGTGTCAAAATTTATAAATATTTTTTTAAAGAAAATTCCATTAATTTAAGGTATGTAATAAGTAATAATTGATATTTCGTAAACTAGATAACTTATTTTTTATTGTTTTTTAAAAAATGTTTGTTAAAACTTGTAAATAACACCATAAAATTGTAAACGAAAATCCAATATGGAGGCTAAAATTTAATCGCTGTTAAATAGTTCTAGTGATTTAATCGCTTATTTAACTGAAATTTATTCGAAAATTCAAGGCTTTTGATTGGTTCATATTATAATGAGGGCAGCGCCGGATTTAGGGGGGGTCTTTGGGGGTCTATAGACCCGGGGCGCAAGCTTACAGGGGGCGCACAATTTTTGACTGGTAACTTTTGTTTTTTACTACAACCTAAAGGGTTTTCCCCTTTTTTTATTTTTCGTGTATTAATCAGTTTTAATAAAAAAAATATTTAAATTATAACCGCGATTGTTGCCATAGTATTATTATCTATGCATAGTATACGAAATATGTCATGTCGCGTATTACGTAGCGCGCCCGACAAGTTGTTGGGCGACAAGAACTTTAGTTTGCAGAAATTGATTATTTCCACCGATGCGATGCGTATGGGCGTAAAGGTTTTTTAATATAAGAATATTTTATTAAACTACGAACAACTATTTAAAACTATAGTTATATACAGTACCAGTCATATATATATATGTATGTATATATACAGTATAGGTATTAGCCTATTGAAAGATGACGTCAATATTGCGATAAACAAATTTGCTTCTCTAAAAGCGCGCAAAGTTGAGTTGGCAAAATGTTAATTTTCTTATTTAGATATTTGTCTTTTATATAGTTTTTGTTTATGTTTTTAGGGTGGCAATATTTTTTCGACATTTTTTTTAATTTCGGAGCTCACATGAAACAATTTAAGTTTAAAGTAGGTACTTATTCAAGTTTCAACTCAAAAAAAAAATAAACGTCGCTCAAAAAAATCAACTAAATTGGAAAAATAGTAGTGGTTACAAGATCAAAATTATTAAAAAAATCAAGAAATGCATTTCAAAAATATTGAGTGACCAATAATATTTTGACTTAAAAATGTATTATGACCTACAAAAAAAATAGTGAGAAGCCAAAGATTTTGAGAAAAAAGGTTGGTTTAAAAAAGTTTTGAGCGACGTCTAAAATTTTTTTATCTGTTGAAATTCAAATACTTTAGACTTATTTTTTTTATTTGATTTCCAAAATCAAAAAAATTTCGAAAAAATACTACAACCCTAATGTTTATGGTTAAATAAAATCCTTTTGTTAAGAAGTGACATTTCTTTGAATTTATTAAATAGGTAGGGGCGGAAAATTTTTATTAGACCCGGGGCGCAAATTTTTATAATCCGGCGCTGAATGAGGGAAATAATCAACCAAATTTAACAGTTATTCGTAAGAAACGTCAAAAATAGAAAGGGCATCTAGACTCCAGTCTTGAGAAAGCTAATCAACAAGTTTGACGTTTATTTGACAGATCACATCCAAATTATAAATCATACTTATAAAACATGTTCATTAAAGTTATTTAAAATAATAATAATTTTTAAAATACCCATTTTTAACATCAATATTAAAATATTTAGTTGGATACTAAAATCTAATAAGAATAGTTATTAAATTGGCAGTAAACATGCTTGCCCATAAAATGATAATAAACTTTAAAGTTTATTTACATTAGTCCAAAATATCTTATAATATGTATACATTGATATTAAATTAAATAGAAATTCCCAATACCTTAGTATAGCTAGATACAGAACTATTTGCGCAGGTGACCAAAAAATCTTATGAAATATGAATTGAGTGTATTTAACCCTAATTTTAAAAAGTAAAAATCTTATTGGAAAAAATAGGGTCATTTAAATTAAATGATTTAATGTTATTAAATGTTTTTATTTCTGCTTTGAAAATTTATAGTACTGAATTAAATTGCTAAATTTATTTATAACAATCACTTTACACTGTAATTTTAAAAATTAAAAGATTTGTAGATCATAACCATTAATACTACATTTTTAATAGCACTACATTTAACACTAGTTTATTTAATTGATGTAGCCAATTTATGACGTTGAAAAAATCAAAATAAAAGACGATTTCTGTGAGAAATCACTTGTATATCTACAAGAAATTTTGCTTTCTGGTTTGCTTTAACAGTGCGTAAGTTTAAGAGAGAAGGACGAAGACTTTAGAGATAAAATTATGGGCACAGATGCAAAGTAAAGCATCATTATTTTGATTTTATTGTTTTTCATGGTATTATGTTTGTGGCTCAGCTGTAGTAGCCATATTGATACAACTTTACGTCATTAAAATCAGGGCACCGCCACAGGTGGAATTTGATTTTGAAAATTTCAGGAGCTTACCTGATGAAGGGCTGTTAGCCCATCCACATTTGCTGTGTTTATGTCTGCTCCTTTCTCTAGTAAATTCAAAACTTCATCTTTATCCCCCGATGCACACGCTGCCAAAAACACACACCCCGACGAAAACTTTATTTTCCTGGACTTTTGCTTGGGCACCACTGGCTCGCGATTCGTGTCCGATTCTTCCCATCGTCTTAATTGTTCGGCCCTTTTAAAAAGAGCTGAATTTGATCGAGTCTCTAACGACATGGTTATTTAACTCACTATGGCCACCATCACAATTGTAACCAAATTCTTTTTTGTGTTTAGTACAGGGTGCGGTTGGTAATAAGGTCAACGCCATCTATCAACCATAACCCACACCACACTCCTCATTACCTTTTGTGATCTTGGTTGCATACGTTAGCTTTCCAAACAAATATTATTGATTAAAAACGAAATCAAAAACAATTATTATAACAATGTTATTAAAAATACTTAATAAATAAAATTAAATAAATTTAAAAAATATTTTCAATAAATAAATCATTAAAAATATATATTTAATTTGTTTTTAAATTTCGCGCGCTTGTTATTTGTGTCGAGGAAGTTGACAACAGTTGCCAACAGTGCCGACAGACGCCATTGTTCTGTGGACGCCATTTGCCGCATAGAATATTCAGCTTGATCGATTAGTTTTATGAAATACAACTCTAATCATATTTAAATCGCGTACATTAGTGCATTTTCGTTAAAGTGTATCCAATATTAGGTAAGTGATGTTTGGAAATGTCTTATTTTGTTTACACGTATATTTTCAAAATACATAATTGGATGGCGTTTTCGATTGATATTTAAGGTAGAACGGACTGAAATATTTTTTCTTCTTTCAGTCTCCCTATGAGTTACTACAGACCTAGGTGAGGTTTAGCAAAAAAAAAGTTACCTTAAATCGCTTTTTTATTTAATATTGCAAAGGGCGACTTTTGGTAGACGAATAAAAACTATACAGGATGTGCTAATAAAAAAGGAAGGAATACCTAAGGAAAAGTTCAATTTCTAAAACGCTTCCTTCCAAGGGAAATTATACTTTTCCTAAAGTCACTTCTTAAATGTATTAGCACATCAGTTTGGAACATCCTGTATTTAAATATTTGTATAGTTTCAGTCAGAGCCTAGCAATGACGAGAGGCAGAGGCTTCTCGCCAAGAGGCAGCTCATATCGTGGCAGCCCTAGAGGAGGTTCTTCTTGGGGTGGAGGTGGTAGAGGAACATACTCTCCAAGAGGTGGAAGATCTATGTCTCATTCCTATGATAACAGATCTAAATTTTCTGGGGATCGTTTTTCAAGCTCCAGACCCTCACAAGATGATTATAGAAGATCTGGTTACAGGGTAAGGGAATTTAAATATTTAATTATATTATCAAACAATTTGTTCATTTTAAATTTTTGAATTTATGCTTAATTTATGAAAATTATAAATGTTCATGTTTGATAAAAATATAAGAGCAAGTTTAGAATGGTTTCCTAACTTCTTAAGTAATAAATAATAAATAAACCTTGACTTTGTTTTTGTAGTGATATTGTTATATGGTTTAAAATGATTTGGTTCAAACACAAAGTAAATTAAATTTTTATTTTAGGGTAGTTCACAACTTATTTAGGATGAGAATTTTTTAATTTAAAAGTTTATAATTATCATTTTATTTTTTTCTGGCGGCTAATGCGATTATAATATGTGTAAAACATATTATTTTAGAGTATAAATAAAAAGTAAGTGTTATCCTAAATATATTTTTTATGTAGCACATTTTATTTTTTTATTTTCATGTTTAAATATTAAATTACACAAGGATTGCTAAATTTACGTTTGACTTAAATTTTGTGCAGAGTAAAGCATTAATTTTAACAGGTTAATACTAGGGATGCATATATATGCGTATCATTGATACCAATAAGGATGATAAATTATAAAGGACTGACTATTACACAAACCACTGGTTTGAAACCAGGTTGTTTAATATTATCTAATAAATTTAAAATAATGAATATATAAGTATTAAAAGTTAATAATTAAAATTAACATTAGGAAGATTTGTATGAAGAAAACAACATTCTTAAATTAATAAACAATTATCATACGATCTTGCTATTTGCTTACAATATAAATAGCATGGCATAAAAGGTGTGTGAACATTATTTATTTTGTTGTTTTTTTAATTATGATGGATAATACAAATTCCTTTACATTGACAGCATAACCTTAAACAATTTGTAATATATATTACACATATATACAAATATCATTTAGTCCACAATCCACACAACAAAAAATCACTGCAACACTGCACAGAATCTAACGGCCGTTTTTATGTTAACTCCTCTTGTAAAAAATAAACCTTATTTAATCCATGCTGTCATCAAACTGTCAAATTTAAATTCGTAAAATTGAAACTAGACAGCCCTGATAAAATATGGTTTATTTTTACCAAAAGAGGAGTAAAATGGTTGTTCTTAGCACTTTAAGGCCTCATTTGAGGCTTTCAAGTGCCTCTGTAAGAAACACAACGTTTAAAACAATCATTAATCTGTATAAACAGCACCAACCCAAAAGCACAAGAAATGTAAACAACATCAAAATGGCCGCCGTTAGATTCTGTGCAGTGTTTCAGTGATTTTTAGTATGCGCGAAACGAGACCTTGTTGTGTGGATTGTGATTTAATCTATATTCGGGTAAAATGCATAAAGGAATAAGTCAAAAAAAGCAATTTTTTTAGTAGGGCCTAGCATTAATTCAGGAAATATATTTTCTGAATTAGTTAATGCGAATACGTTTAAAGGCTTTACTGAAAAATTGTTTTTTAACTTATTTCCTTATACCTTTACCCACAGAAATAGCATAGAATAAAAGGTACATAATAGTATAATATTACTTGAGAAATAATGCAGGCTTGTATTCACAAAGATAAGGTTTGCTTCTTTATTTCACGGTGCTGTTCTGAGAGGTGATTTTTGGACTTTCTGTGAAACCTAATTTTTTTTTATATTCTTGTTAATTAGGTCATAACTAAAATTTTAAGAGCAAAATAAAAAAAATTTGACGGTTTGAATTGTTTTAATTGGCTGTTTATTAAAAATATTATGCACTCTTTCAATTATCCAATTAAAACTAGCGATTTAATTTAAATATTATCATAACTTTTTAAATCAGATTAAAGATTAGTTAATTTCCTAAAAAAAGGTCTATACATTTTTTATATCTTTTACTGTTTTGTTGTAATACACGTTTAAAGTTTTAATTTAAGGTTAAACGTATAGTATACATTTATTAAACAATAATTCTAAGGGTGCCACATTTTATTTAGGGCCGATTTATTCATTTTTGATTTATTTGACGAATAATTTCTTTGGATACTAGATATTGCCAAGACATGAAAGTTATCGGCCCGATAAACTTTACTAAAGATGAATAAACCGGTCTTTAGTTAAATTTCATGAATTTCTTCGTAACTTTTACTACAATTTTTCATTTTTGTTTATAAAAAACACTTTAAAAAACTAAACAAAAATTATAGAATACGTATACTGAAAATGACAATTCAAAAATCAAATAAATTTTTAATAGATCTAAGTTTCATGGCAACCTTTAAGGATATATTAATTAAGGGAACATAAATGTATACGTCAAAGGTAAGATTAAAAGTTTGAACGTTTATTGCAACAAAACAGTAAAATATATAAAAAAAATTGTAAAACCCTTTTTTTTAGTTATGCAAATATTAAATATTTAAATTAAATCGCTAGTTTTAATTGGATAATTGAAAGAGTGCATAATATTTTTAATAAACAGCCAATTAAAACAATTCAAACCGTCAAATTTTTTTTATTTTGCTCTTAAAATTTTAGTTATGACCTAATTAACAAGAATATAAAAAAAAATTAGGTTTCACAGAAAGTCCAAAAATCACCTCTCAGAACAGCACCGTGTTTAACATATATCAAAAAGTTTTTATTTGTATATAAAAAAATCGAGAAGTTTAAAGCCTGAATTATAGATTGCCTTCCTTCCTTCCTCCCGTAGTCGTGCCCGTACGATTTGTGCGTCTTGTAAAAAGTCAATTTATAGATTTCCGTGTAAAATTCCGTAATCATGCCCGATGACACCTAAAATGGTTGTCATTTGTTTTTGTTTATATTCTGCGTTTTACCCATTGTGTGTAAATATGAAAGATAATCATTTATATATTAGTGCAGTGATCACAATTTTAATTGCCCTGGCAGCTTGTTGTATACTGCCCAACTATGGAGAAAGGCAGTAACTGCTAAACAAGAAATTTGTGGAAAATTAGCATAAACTACATTTTTATAAAAAGCAGTAGGTATTTAACTGATTTATTCAAAAGATAGTTAACTGCATTTCTTTGTTGAATTAAGATACAAAATGTCCATAGCTTTATCATAGCACAAGAAAACACATTTATAGTCACTGCCTTTCTCCATGGTAGGGCAGTATAATGAAAAAAAACATCGAACAAGACGTTGGAAGACTCGTCCACTTTACCAAGACCGGGAAACTACGCGGTTTTACAAAGCAACGTTTCTAAAAATGAAAGACATTGATCATAAACAATATCTAAATATCCTATTTAGAGACACACATTATTTAATAAACTAAACACCTATCTTAAATAATACTAAACAATCATGTATTTTAAATATATTTTGCCTAGGCGCTGTCACCCTACAGCGCATGTCCATAACAAGCACTGTGATTGGTCATGTCAAAGACCTTTACGGTGAAAGATAAAACTTAAAAATTTCTACGGGAGGAAGGAATGCCGTCCTTACGGTACGGAAATCTATAACTGGCACTACGATTTAAATAAACATTTTTGTCGTAATTGTCACCATTAACATTGCCCGTTATTAATTTTAATTAAACTTAACAATTATTGATACTTTAAAATATTAAAATAACTTCAAAATATGATTTTGTTAAGAAAATATTTTATTCTTTGATTTTTTTTATTACTATAATTGCAAAATATTATCACAAAGTATTAAAAATTTTTACACGGGAAATTTTAATGGTGACAATTACGTAATGTTCATCTTCTACGGGAGGAAGGAAGGAAGGAAGGAAGGAAGGCAATCTATAATTCAGGCTTAAGTTTATCTACAATTTGTACTGTTTAGAATGAATTTTGGCTAAATGACCACATCAAATTCTGGTTACCTAGTAACTTTTGCTTTGTGATGCATGATTTACAGACCATGCAGCGCATTGTGATATTCAAAAAGGCCATCTGTTTTCTATGTCTGTTATCTATGATTGATGACTAAGTCATCATGACTTATTAAATTTTAAAAGTGAATGAGATACCAACTTTGTGAAAAGTAAAAAAAAACAATCGCGTTAATTGTCATTTTAGCCAAGCTAAAAAACAGTTAGTTTGGTCTAACTTACATGAATGATTATATCGACCCATGCAACGAAGACTATTGTAACTCAGTTTTGATTGTAGACTAGAGTAACTCAACTTAATATTGTTTTTCCTGTAGGAATGTGGATTATTACACTTACTATACAGGAAAGTTGTTCACTGGTTGCCTATCGTTTCATGTCTGAGTTACTGTAATCTTCCACCAAATAGAGCTTGAAAAAATCTGTTGATGTCATATAGTAAGTCAAAACCCACGTTTTTTGAGTTACTATAGTCTTCGTTGCATGGGTCTATATGTCAATAGTTGATCTTAACTGTTTGTTTTAGCTACAAGATGGTAATTTTTATTTATTAGTTAATTTTATACACGGTAAATTTTTGTAAAAAAAAATATTGTTTGCACTAAAAAGTTTAACAATTTATTTTATAAAACTACTGCAATATAAATTAAAATAAGTCTACACAATGATAATGAATAATAAAAAAATATTTTTACAGCCACAAAATGTCATTTACGTTTTGTTGCAAAGGGTGTAGATACAAATGACTATGTTAGTCATACTAATAATGACATTCTGTCACCATAGAAAAATTAACATAAACATTTTTTCCACAAAGTGGAATACCTATACATTATAGACCAGGGAGATATATTATAGCCCAGCATAGCCGAGGCAGTAGATTGTGTGCGAGGAAATTAATGGGTAATAAATTACCTGTATATGGTCCGGTACATAACTTAAAACTAAACTAAAACTAAAATAATATATAATATTTTCTTTATCGTTACTATAGTGTATAATTCCACATTTAATACTACCTAGTATAATAGTTATTAAGTTAATAATTAATTATTGGTACACTTTTTGGTAATTCAGTCATTTTTTTAAACTGAAAACTAAATCTGTTTTTTGGGTTATTTACAACTTTGATGTTGTTATGATGTTGAAGGTTTTTATACCATTGTAGAGACTAGTTTTTTTATCAATTGCAAGCTATGGTATGGTTTTTTAACAGTACTTTTGAAGTTAGTAAAAATGTTGTTTGAGGGATTTTTTTTCCAAGTTCTAGTGATTTTTTATGGCTGTCGGAATTTTAAGATTTTGTTTTATTTTTGTTTTTTTTTATTTTTATAACATATTTATACAAAATTAATTATAATAATAATAATAATAATAAATTTATTAATCCCAGGCTACAACAAGTAGAAGAGGCAAGTACATAAAAATACACAAATTTTAAAACTAAGTAATTACACAGTACATTAGTAAAATGAAAAAGTAATTACAGTTAATAAACAAAGAGTGTAAAATATATAGGGAAAATAGGCCCTACTCAAGAAATGTTATTTTGCAGAAATGCCACAAACTCTTCAATAGAATAAAAAACATTTTGGTACTGTTTTTTCATTAGTTTAGTAATTTAAATAAAAACATTTTTATTATCACTCTTTTGCATTATTATTTTTATAACTTAGTAATTTTAGGTATTTTGAATGTAAAAAATACATAAAACCATGAAATTATTTTTTTTAGTAGGTGCTAGGTAATAAAAAAACAATAAAATTGGAGAGTAAAAAATTTAGGTACTTTTATTTTAAATTATTATTCTTACTCGAAAATTTTTGAAAAATATAAAATATGAAAATAAAATAATTTAAAAAAATATTGACGTTTAATAACGCAAGTAATACTTAGACAACAATTCGAACATTGAACTCAAAAATTTAAAATTTTTTCAACAAAAATTTAATTTATTCCCTAGGGCTTGAAATGAACTTTTTTATGGTCTTAAATTTTAAGAATTAATATTAAGTAATAAAGAAAGAGAAACAATGGCAATTTTATAAGAACATTGCCCCCAAAAACTAAATTTTATTGCATTAAATATTCATAAATATAAATTATTTTGAGATGAAAAATCTTTTTACAAAGAGTCGGAACGAGAAGCATCAAATACTTTTCCATAAGAAACAATTTGTAAGCGAAAGCTAACACTGTAGCTTCTTCATTTCTGAAGAAGCTACAGTGTTAGCGAAACAATTGTCAAATAAAATTTAAATAAATTCGTGAAACTCAAAAACAGTGTTTGTTTTTTATCCAGTTATATATTAGTTTCATCAAGTAAAGGTCGAAACAATAAAATTAATTGTAAATTATATTTTTAAAATATCCTATAGGTCAAGCAAAATGCTTGGACAGACAATTTAATTTTGCATCTTGCGTTTTAAATACAAAAATAGTGTGTTCATCAAAGAAATGGTGACAATTTTTATGTTCTTTTTTATTTAATATTTTCATTATAAAAATTGTTAAATTATTATTAACCTGTTAAAAATGCTTTAACAAAAGAACATTCTGTATATTGAGTTTTATGTATTTATAGGTTTTATATAAAATGTTTATTTATTTTTATTTCAGGACAATAGTTATTCAGGACGGGATAGATCGCCAGATCGCAAACGTATAAGGACTGAGGTATAAAGAATTAACAGTTTAATTTCAATAATTTCACAGGTATTTTCTGGAATTTCATAATGAAATAGTAAGAAAGAATTTGTTGAAGGCTGAACGCCACTTTAATTTTAATGTTTAGTAAAAATAGGAGAAAATGATGAATTGGATTTAAAAAATTGCATAAATCATGTTTATTTGTAAAGGGAATTTAAAATTAAGCATTATTGGAGTGAAAAGATGAGTAACTTTAATCTTGCAGAGTGATGATCATAATTAAATAGATTTAGTATGTATAAGTATATTTAAAGCTATTGATGTATTTATAGTAGAGTGTTGATTGATTATGAGAGCCCAGTAGATTTGATTATCTGAGGGTCTTTCTGCTGATAACAAAACAAAAGTATCTGGTTAAACAAAAATACATCATTGTTATTCTCTCTCTTCTATGTGTTTTTAAACAGGCCCCTAGTTCACGACACGAAGGAGGATACGGAGGTGGCGGCGGCGGCTATGGCGGCTCGAACCGTTACGAATCTTCGTATTCGGATCGGCGAAGTTACTCGTCGAACGATCGTCACGGTTCGTTATCGAGAAGAGACGATTTCCACAGGCCCATGAGCAGGCCGCCCCCGTCAAGAGGCGGCTACAGAGGCCGCCTGAGCTCGTCGAGGGGCGGCGGACGCTCGCGCATTATGAGAGAGCGGCCCCGAAGGAGGCTGATTGATACTTCGTATAACGTTCACAAACGGATCGTGCCAAGAACGGGCGACTTCGCACGAAGACTTAAAATATCCAAAATGAGGAGGTAAATACTTTTGATTGATAATCGAAAAACAAAAACAAAAAGGTCTAGTATACACACAACGTATTTATTACATATATGTCTATTTATATTCTCTACCCATACAAGATTTGCTGCTGCCATATACGATAAGCGGTTATATAGCTCTGAGAAGAATAAGGCTTTCTACAGAAAAAAATATAAAGCCAAATACAAATAGAAGCATGGATAGATAGATCACTTTTGCTGTTGATTGTACTATCTATCACAAGTGATTTTGTTGTATTTTTGTAAACTTCCAGCTCCATCACCTGTTTTTTTGCTGTAGCACCATTTTTAGGACTTTAAATCCCATGGATTTTTTTGGAAGCATATTGCAAATATTAAAAGGATGTATACCAAATTTAAAACGTAGAATAATAACTAGAACATGCAAAAATATTGGAAATAGAAGGATATTCTAGAAACAAACAATACAATTACACAAAAAAGCTGACAAAGCATTGTTTATTGTACTGATAAACATTCTAAATATACATTTACGTTGGTGAACCCGCAGAATCGATAAACAATAACAATAAGCAACCCAGTTTTGTATACACTCCTTTAAATATTTTCGTTTTTTTATTTTTTGGAAAGAAGATTAATAATTTGCCTATTAAAACAAAATCTGTGTTCTCTAGCGCTATAGCACGTCGTGTGGTTCCCAAGAAGGATAAGAAGGAAGCTAAAGAAGGCGAAGAAGATAAGGAGGAAAAAGAAGACGAAGAGAAGGAGGAAGGAGATGACAGCAAGACCGAAGAAAAGTCCCCCAAGAAAGAAAAAGATAAGGAGAGCGAGTCCGAAGGTGAAAGCGGCGAGGAGAAGAAAACGCTCGTGAGGCCTCGCATCAAACTTATGTGTCCTCATTGCAATCTACAAGCTTACACTTTCAGGTAATGGTCTTTTCAAATAAATCCATTTGCATAGTCCTAGTCCTAATCATAATAATAATAAAAATGTTGATAGGCATTTATAGAAAATAATCATTAATCATTTGTAAATTAAGGCCATCATTACAACTATGATTGTGAATCTTGAAAATATATGCATAAGAAGTTAGTTCATAACTCTTATAATTATAATTATATATAGTTGGTTTATACATCTTATACACTGTAAAGTAGTATATTATAATCCCTGGCCAATTTATTAGACTTGCTTACCATTTATTTTTTGGAAATTTGTCATTATATTCTCACAAAAATTTTATGAATAAAATCGCGTAAAAAAAATTTGAATTACAAAGTTTAACTTAATAAGGTAAAAATTAGTATTTATTATAACTTTAAAATTAATTTTTCCAATAATAATTTGGATTACAACATGTTTAGAAATAAATTATGTATCTAAACATGTAATCAAAGTTTTATTGCAAAAATGACTTAAAGGAGGTCCGGGCACGATTTTAGTCGCCATGAGAAAATGTGGAAAAATTGTAGGTCGTATTAGAGTCTACTTAAAAGACGTTTACAAAGGTTTTCGAGTAAAAAGTTATTTAAGTTGCATGGGCTGTGTTGTGAATGGTTTCAAAAATACGAGAATAAAAACATCGATTTCTTATTGTTGTGTTATAAGATATGCGTTAATTAAATACATCTTCTATAAAGCCCATGTCTTTAATTACTCGTAGTGCATCTTAAAACATTACATTAAAAAATTATTAAATTTTTGATAACTTTCACTGCAATAATAAACCATAATGTTGACTGTCTCACAATCCACACAACATGGTCTGTTTGATCTCGTACTAAAAATACTAAGAATCACTGGAACACTGCACGTCATTTAATGGCGGCCATTTTTGTCGTTGACAATTCTTGTGCTTTGGGTTTGTACAGATTAATAATCGTTTTAAACGTTGTGTTTCTTACAGAGAGACTTGCAAGCCTTAAAAGAAACCTCAAAATGGTAAGAACAATCATTTTACTCCTCTTTTGTAAAAATTTATAACCCACAAATTAACCTTCAAATTGACATTTGACAACCCTGATAGAATAAGGTTTATTTTTTACAAAAGAGGAGTAAAATGATTGTTTTTACCACTTTGAGGTCTCTTTTAAAGCTTGCAAGTCTCTCTGTAAGAAACACAACGTTTAAAACGATTATTAATCTGGACAAACCCAAAGCACAAGAATTGTAAACAACAAAAATGGCCGCCATTAAATGATGTGCAGTGTTACAGTGATTTATAGTATTTTTAGTACAAGATCGAACAGACCTTGTTGTGTGGATTGTGGACTGTCCAACCCAAATTAACAATCTGTCATTCTTGTCTAGAAGATCCGGCAACACTGGATTACTAACACATGATTATCTAGGGATATTCGGTTTTATTTATTTGGTGACTACCATAATTTCGTTTTTAAAGTAAATTATTAAAAACTAAACACAATTTTATTAGGTTATTTATTATAAGTTGTTTTTTAAATAATTAGACAATCCTTCTACCTTCTATGGTTTTTAACATGCATAGTATTTTTTTCTTTGTAGTGTTTTTGTTTATAGAACTCATTTTTAGATTTTAAATAACACCATATATAATTCACGTTCTTGTGTTACAAATAGGTTTGTTTGATTAAGCAGTTCTCATTAGTTCTTGGGATTAATCCAATATTTTGCGAAAATCGCCATAATTTGTCGTGATAAGCATGCACATTAATGCAATTGGTTATCATACCTACGCCATTTATGTTTATTTCGTTTGCCTCGTAGTGTTTGTTTTGTTCAGTTTTATCCAAAGTGTTTAAAGTTTTTTTTGTTTTTTATAATGGACAAAGAGTTTTTTGAGGTACATAAATGTTTCTTATTTTACCTTTATAGTCACTTAAAGTAACTTTACTAATTTAGTATATAAAAAAGCATCGAAAATATCACCTAGTGAGAAAACAATGTCCCTAAAATATCTAAATGAAATAGAAGATGCGAAATGCGAATAGTCGTATTTTGCATCTATATGAAACCGACTTAACAAATTTGTTTTAGATTTGTTCTTACAAAAATAACCTAAAAATGTTATAAAATTAGTATTTTTCACAAAAACACTTTTTGGGTCATAAAAGTCATTTTTGCAATACAACTTCGATTACAACATGTTTTGATATGGATTTAAACATGTTCTATTCAAAGTTTTATTGCAAAATTGACTTTTAAAGCGCAAAAAGTGTTTTAACGCTATTTAAATTGCTTTTGTAGTTCATAATGCATTTTTGTGAGAAGATAATATTATGAACTATTTTACAAACACCATAAATTAAAAAAAAATTGTGTCTGATAAAATGGCCAGTGACTGTAAAATTCAATATAATTATTTAATGTAGGAAATACGATATGCACTTGTCGAGTCGCACCCACTTGGTGATGATGCGCAGGATCGCAATCAAGCAGAAGTCGATTTTGGCGCAGATGCGCCAAGCGCAACGCAACAAGCAAAACGAGCTCGAGAAGAGTTCGGAGGACTTGCAACCGCGCACCAACTTTTGCCCGCTCTGCAAGCTTAACTACAAGCAGCGCAAATCGGTGCACCAGAGTTCAGAGGCGCACAAGAACATGAAAAAGTTCTTGATGCCATACTGTAAGGTGTGCAATATTACGTTTAAGAGTCCCATGATCTACGAGAGTCATTGCTGCTCCATTGAGCACATCAAGGTATGTGACAGAAAAAGAAAAAAAAAATAATAATGATTACGCTATATTTTTTCGTTTAGAGAAAACAACGAGTTGAAAATGGCAGCGATAATTCTGCTGAAGAAGATAATCTAGAAAACTTCACCACCATTGATTCTGTGGGCGACAATGATGGTAAGTTTTTCATTCTTAATACTAAATAAAAAATCTATTATAGAAAATTACCAATAAACCAAAAAAGAGTTATATAACTTTAAACTAAGCAAGAAATTCTTTTAAAAATATTTGTATTTACTACTAATGCTTTATCTACCAATTACACTAGTTTAAAGCCACTATTTTTGCATTAAAAAAACAAATGAAAATTAAAAATTTTTATCTTAAAAAACCAGTGTTAATAAATATTAAAAATGCTACATTTACAAAAATTAGCCAAATTAAAAAAAATAAACTATCAAGTATGTAAAGCCTTGTAATAAGTGAAAAAAAAGTGCAAAATATAATGTAATTTTAAGTAGTCCATGTGAAACTTTCAAAAATATTTATTACACTGTGTGACAAAATTTAACCAAATTTCTAAGCCTTAAATTGGACCATACTTTTCCGAAGGTTTTTTTGATACGCTGAATTCGAATCCGACCTTAGAATTGCAGGTTTTTAAGAACCCAAAAGTAAAAAAACGCGTTTTACATCCCGAAATACTGATATTTCACAATACTAGTTATGCCATGTAAAAGTACCATTTTTTCTCTTTGAAATCCTTGATTATGATCAAAATAAATCAAATTTGTATCTAAAAAATTGTGTTTTTCTACTTACGGGTTAGAATTACTTAAAAACCTGACGTGATGGAGCAACTCTAAAGTCGGATTCAAATTCGTATTTACAAAACATAATTATTCGTTTTCACAACTCATTTTAAGATTTTAAATAACACTACATATAGAACTGCCACTGCCACTGTCAAAAGCAAAAAGCGTTACAATAGAAACCAACAACTGGCAATGTAGTCGCGTTACAATATATATTTATATGTATTAGGGTGAGCCAAAAAAAACTTTTAATTTTTTTTCTTTAGTTACTATGAAAATATCGTCCAAGATGACTGTTTCGTAATAGAGTATGAAAAACTGTAAAAGTCATCATTTTAACCTCAAATATCTTTTAAATCATATCAGATCTTTTTTGTAAATCGTTCTATTTCCTACAAGAATATGTATTGATTTCTACAACTGACTGATTCGTTAAAACGCAATAAAATTCCAAACAAAAAAATTTATTTTTCCCTTGTTATTTAAATGGAAAATAAAAAATCGCGATGAGCCACCTCTTAATATTAAGAGCTTAAAATTTATCAGAATTTTTTTTTCGTCATCTTGGACGATATTTTCATGGTGGCTAAAGAAAAGAAAATTAAAAGTTTTTTTTTTGGCCCACCCTAATATGTATATAGTGCCTTTTGTATTAAAATAATACACTAATAAAATTAGTTTTTTTAAATCAAATGTAATAAAATGACAAAATAAACTTTGTGTTTGCTAGTTAGTGCCTATCGCTATTTATGCATTAAGTACCGTACGAACTAGGGTTTTAAAGGAAGTATTAACTGAAAAATTGGGGGAAAAACCTGTTTTTTTAGGCTTTTTTGGGAAGAATTGATTTTTTTTTTGTTAATATACAAAGCAATCAACAATTTAACAATATTTTAATTTAAAAAAAATATCAAATAGGATAATAAATTTATTACATAAATAAAACAAATAAAACTAAACATTGCATTGAAATAAAGTAAAGAAAATAAACGTAAACGTTGGGTCCTTTCTGCAAAAGGGCGTCCATTGAAAATATCCATTTACAAAATAAAGAATGATTTATAAAGTTAAATGACAAAATTATAATTTTATAAATCGATGTGTCAAATAAAACGATAGTTAGATTAATGCAGCTTGAATTTGTTTTTTGCGATCCGGTAGAAGATTCTTAATGAAAATTTAATTATATCTAATAATAGGAATAATTATTAAAATCATGCATTATATCATATACTGTATAATTTATATGATTATAATGAAAGTAAAAAATTCAGTGTACAGATATTTGGAAATTTTAAGAAAAATTTACTTTTTAATTTTTTTCGTATTAACCCTATGAATAAAATAAAAAAATGCAAAAGTCAATTATTCTGTAAATTTCCCAATTTTTCCGTTTTTTTTTCCTGAAAAAAAACTGCTCAATTTTTCCGGAAATTTTAAAACCTTATTCCGAACCTCCTTGAGCAAGTTACTGTATAATTATTTTTTTAAATAAAACAAACATGAACATTTTGCAGAAGTTGAAGAGAAAATCGACGAAGAAAAGGACGAAAAAGAAGCCATAGACGTGGGAATTGAGCAGGTCCACAAAGTCGAGGCCCACTACTGCGATTTGTGCAAGATGTATTTGCCACGCGCTGACGAGACCGACATGCCGAAAATCATTTCGAGACATTGCAAACAGCGCGTCCACATGCAGCGCTACGTTCGCTTCAAGGACCTCGAGAAACGCGCTGAAAGATTGCAGCGCAAGGAGACCGCCGAAAAGGAGGCAAAGAAGAAGGAAGGCCATAAGGAGGGAGAGGAGAAGAAGGACGCGGAGAATGGCAAGATTGATAAGGAGGAGGAGGAGGTTGACGATAAAATCTGGGAAGATGTTGAGAAAGATATTGGAGACATTATTGCTGAAGCTGAATCTGGCAACAAAAGCTCTGATGAGGATGAGGATGATACCCACCTTAACGGAGAAAGGTATGACAGATTTAAGTTGAGTGAGAAGAACGGAGATGAAGCTCCCAAGAAAGAGGGAGAAAAGCCTGCTGAAGCAGTAGCCGAAAAAGTTAAAGTTGAGGCTGAAGAAGTTAAATAATTTAGTCATAGTAACTATGTATGTAATATTTCTTGTCTAAGAAAACTTACTTAATTTTAGATTTTGACTTATTATTATTGAATAATCAATATTATTTTATGTGAGTATGTAGTTGTATGTCATGAATATAAACAATAAATGGTTAAAAGTTAAACCTACCCACATTTTTTTGCTACTTGCTTTCTTGTTTGACTGTTTGAGCTAAAATTTTGCCTACACTTGGTGCTGGTTAAAATACAAAACTCAATATTGCAATTTTCCTTTTTCTTTACAACCCACTTGATATGAATATCAAATAAAAGGGTTTGAGGAGTAGGTAATCATACTAAATCCAAAATGGCGGATTCCCTTTTTTACAATCCTTTGGATATCAAATGATTTATTTGAAATTAAAGAGTTTGACAAGTAGAAAATTATAAGGTGAGGTCATTCGTTAGTAAATCCAAGATGACGGATTATTTTTTTCTTTACAAACTTAAGGTGACCAACCGTCCTGGTTTACCCAGGACAGGTTCTGGTTTTTGCTAATGTTTCCTGATTTTGCAAATTTGGTCCTGGTTTATACTACTTTTTTATTATGGACATTATTAGCAATTTTTTTAAAAGTGTTTGGGGGGCTCAAGTTCAACCTTAATTTAAAAATGTAAAACTTTGAAAGTACATTTAGAAGAGTAAAAAATTCTAATTTTTTTATTAAAAGTGGTAGAGGAAAATTAATTCAAAAATCTTTTTTGGGAGTACCTTCAGTTATTATTGACGTTATTAGCACATCTATTTAAATAAAAAACATTAAATTAAATAAATTATGTTTATTTTTGGAAGGGCGACAGGGCTCCCAGCAGGTAGTTTTTTTAAAGACTTGTCTATATTTTTGTCTTAAGTCTATAAAAGTCTATTTTTTTACCTAAAGTCTATAAAATCTATATTTTCTGTTAAAATGAACTAAAATGAACTATTAAAAAATATTTTTTTAAATATAAATATTCACAGTTTTATAAATATCCAAACCACAGTAAACCAAGTGAAACATTCGAAAACTTCGCAGTTTACATTTAAAGTTCCCGCCGTCCAGACCCGAACCGCCCGCCAAAATTATATATGTTCAGACGATAGCAAAGGTAAGTGTATAACTATAGTTTTGATAATTAAAAATTATACATTTATATTATTTAATAAAAACAAAGTTTAAATGTACTTGTACTCACATAAAAAAATTAAATTGAACGATTAAGGAAGGGTGCAGAAAAAAAAATGACTAAAATATGTATGGCTCAACTAATGTGAAGGAGTGAACCATCCCAAAAAAGAAGCGGGGAAGGTAACTTACAAGATTAGTCGTCTTGCCCAAGATTTAGAAAAACGAAAGGCGAAAATTATAGATCAGCTGCAGCCCACCAAAAAAAATATGACCCATTAAATGACTGATGCCAGTGCCTTTTATATAAATGTGATTCTATTTATTATAAGTTATAATTTATTACAGAATTTAATATTTTTTTTGTTATTTATGTATTTTATAACAGTTATGGTTACTTGTTAAATTTAATTCAATAAAAATTTATAATTTCAAGTTATCTCTATGTATTTTAAATTCAAATTTAGATCTTTTATCCCAAAAAAATGTATACCTCCATTTTATAGTTATTTCGGTAATTAATTTGGTCTATATTTGGTCGTTTATTTTTTATTATTAGTCTCTTAAGTCACTATTTCTCGCAACATGGACTGCTGGGAGCCCTGAAGGGCGAGGATGGGCATGTTGTGTCCTGGTTTTTTATTTTAGAAAGTTGGTCACCTTATACAAACTTCTTGACATGGGCATCAAATGAAATGGTTTCTTGATCAGAATACGTGACGTCAATAAGGCGGATCTAACTAACAGACTAGCTACGGTCCGCGCGTTATAACTTGGCGAGAACGCCTTATGCTCAGTTGACGTAATTTCGTAATGGAACCGCCCTTCAAATTCAGTTTAACACGTGTTTGGCAAAGCAGTGGCGCGTATTCAATATTTACTTTTAAATTTTTTTGGCTATTTGTTTAATTTATTGTACAGACAGTGCCGGTTTAAGTTAGTTCGCCGCCCGGTTCTGGCACAAACACAACGCCCAATGCTTTAAAATATTACTTTTTTAAAAACATTTTTAAATTTTTAAGTCTTACTTTCTCACGTCAAGTGGAAGATTAGGTTGTTTAGGCTGCAGGGGCGTAGCTACCGCGGTATCAGCCGTGTCAATGATACGGGGCCCCCGGCTAGGGGGGGGGGGGCCGATTGACTTCGACATGCGTAAGCAAAAAACATATTACCCACATGTTAAAAAAATTGAGGCATGAAATTAAATAAATAATATTATTATTTAATTGTTTATACTTCGATTTATTCAAATAAAAATTTCCTGAATACCCTCCTGTTCAAACTAGGCCGTGAAGTCATACGAATTGTTTCTGTCTGCACCTTTCCGTTATGCGTTGTCTGCGGCGCAGTCTGCGCATATTGTTCTGTGCTCTGCGCCGCATACTGAATCTGCTTTGCGTGTTATTATCATAGGTTATATTAATAGCAAATTAGAAATAATTATTAGCGTTACAATTGTTTCAAATGACTTTCCTTTATTTTAAAATAGAAACCTTTTAAAAGATGTTGAAGAACGGTAAATGTCTAAAACCAGACCAAATTTTAAAATTTGTCTGAACATAAAAATCTATGTATACATGTTATTTATTAAATTATAAAAAATTGGTAAATGCAAAAAAATGATACCCTAAAAATTTTTTTTGTTTGCCCAAAATAGACTTTGTGCGTGACACCCAGAAATTTTTTTGCAAGCAGCTTTTCCCGTATAAGGGCCTCTACCAGATTTTTGATACGGGGCCCCTCGAGGCTAGCTACGCCACTGTTAGGCTGTTATCTAACATTAAACTTAGTATCCTATAAAATATAAAATGAGCCTTTATAAACAAATTATAAAAACTAATCAAAAGCACTAACTAAAAAATAAAACATTCTTTGGTTTATATAAACAATACTAAGAAAAACTAATTAAAAAATAAAAGTTTAATATTTTGTTTCATTAAACTAATAAAAACTAATCAAAAGTTATAAATAAATAAAACAGTATTCTTTGGTTTAAATAAATATTGAGAAATCCTAATACTAATAATTAAAAGGTTGTTTTCAAGTCTTTATAGTAGCAAATTGTTTTATAACACTTTACATTTATTTCATCTAGCAGGTCTTGATAAATGGACAGAATTGCTAAGGAGTTAAATCTTTCTTGAGGAATTGTATTTCTTAGGTAGTTCTTTACCCTTTTTAGAGTAGAGAAAGATCGTTCACCACTTGCATTTGAAACCATTATAAAAAAAAATCGCAGACAAATATTAATATTCGGAAATGAAGATATTAATTTATTTTCGTATAAAACTTATACTAATTCCAGGAGTTTATATTTTTATTTCCGAAAGGGAAGTTACCAGTTTCTTGAGTTGGACACATTTTTGAGGAAAAAACTCATCCAAATCCTCCACGAAGATTTATGCTTTTAGATTAAACAAAAATTCAAATTTGTTTGTGCCAGATTTCTAGCTATCATATCGACAAATGATTTCGGATTATAGATTGGCAATTATTAAAATGAAACATTGTTCGCATTGTTTCTTTTTTGCTTAAACTTGCCTCTGAATTATTTTCTTCAAATTGTAATTTTCTTATGATTATCCGCTTCTGAGCATAATTTTCGTTTCCTGTTAATTTCCTCGTAATGATCAAAATGATCACGTAAAAAATCTTCTCAACTAAAAATGACAAAAGATGAGCATTTGTGCTTAAATCCATATTTTGTTTTTGGACTGCTTTATTGGTTTCATTAACCCTTTGCAAAACGTCTATCCAAAAAGTTAAAATTATTCCTTTTCCAATGGAGAAGCTGCTTCAACTCTAACAACATTTTTCTCATTTGTATCCGCCGACGCAGTGTCGCAATAATTTTTTTTCTAAATTCTAACGATTAAGTATTTTCTTTTAAATTATGGGCGGTACGCGGTACCGCCCCAAAAATATTTACCGCCCGGTGCTATAGTCCCCAAAAAACCCCTGTTAAACCGGCACTGTGTACAGAAAGTGTACCCAAATTTAATCGTATCGTAAAATTATTGAAAAACTAGTTTTAAAAATACCTATATTAAATTAAAAAAGTGAAGGTAACAAAGTAGTATAATCTTAACGAAACGAAAAATACACATAATAAAGTTCTTGGAAGTCAAGCTCGAGAAATTATTTCTCATGTTTTTAATTATTTTAAAAATAAAAAACTCAATCCTATTGAGCTCTTTTCGGCATCAGTTAAGAACAATGTGGCTCGGAGAAATGTCATTTTTAAATTGGACGATGCAAAAAAATTGCGGAAGAAGAATTTGCTGAAAAATCGCAAGAGGTTTGGATAAAAAGATGTCACCACGCAATATCTGTGGAAGATAAATATCTTGACTGGGAAATAGTGTTGGATGATCATTAGGGTGGTCCAAAAAAGTTGATTTTACAGATTGTCTCACCCCCCAATTTTTTTACCTCCAACATCAATAAAAAATTCCCAAAATTTTAGGCCCCTAGGTGTATTAGAAGGGAGTGCTCATTAGCTAAGAGATTTCAGTTTTTTTTAAATTTATTTAAAAAAAACATTACGCCATCTTTTTACTGGTTAGATAAAATGTTATGCCCTATATATTAATGTTACAATTACCAAAGAATATTATTTACCTAAACATATATTTCTTACACACTAGTTCAATCAGCTAATCCCGCACCTTTCCCTAAGAAACTAAAAACTACACTTTACAGTTTAAATGTCATAAGTGCTTTGGATAGGGAAAATGTCTCAGACCGTGAAGTTCTAAGGCTTATAGTACAGATTGCGATAGCACTGGGAAAAGATCCGCATGAAATGCCGTCTCGCAGCACTATTTGCCGGAGACGAAAACATGAAAGGAAGAAAAGATATGAAACAAAGTTTTTCTTGTCAAGGTTTAGTTTTTGTTCATTGGGATGGTAAAATTCTTCCTGATTACCACTGCTTAACTAAAGTAGAACATTTATCAGTAGTAGTTTCAGCAGATGGAATAGAAAAGTTATTAGGAGTACAGCAAATGAAGTCGGAAACGTACTTCGAGAATGGAATCTGGTGGATAAAGTATAAGGAATGTGTTTTGACACAACATCTGTAAATACTGGAATGAAAAATGGATGCTGCGTTTTGCTTGAGAAAAAATTGGGAGATACTTACTTTGGTTAGTCTGCAGTCATCATGTTTTGGAAATAATTCTTAGTAAGGTTTTCAAGTTGTGCTGCTTTCCGGATATTCCAATTTTTAATCGATTTAAAATAATTTAGGTACCTATTGATCGTATCTGCTTCAAGTCCTCAGACCTAGAATCGTCGAAGAATTTTGAATTTTACAAAAACTCCCCAATCCCCTTGTTGCTAGCTGCATTGAAACAAAAGTCTCAACGTTATGACGACTACTTGGAACTGATCGAGTTGGCTTTGGTCGTTTTGGTGAAATCTGGATCAAGGCACCGTGTGCCACTAAAGCTACTATGTCCGACCTAACTTTTTGGAAAGATTTAGAACGCTATGAGGAGATTGGGAAAAGCGAAGTTGCTAGAGAATCTCTGAAACATCATCTTTGGTACTTATCCAATGAACTCGTAATAATTTTAATACCAACAATAATAATAATAATCATAATATTAATATGGCCTTTGTCTACGCAATAAATTATTTCTTACTTATATTTTTTCAAGGTCGACTGTGTGTTGTAAACTTCGAGTTGTAAATGATATAGCGGAAAGATGGGTAAAACTATTTGAAGAGCATAATCAATCATAAAAAATGAGGACGAAAAGCAAGACTTGTTACAAATCGTAGAAACGAATCGGAAATCTGTTCCGACAGAAACCACAAAAAAGCTGCAATTTATGCTACTAAGAGTTCTGGACCATGATTTTCATGTGGATATATTGTCTTCAGATTCATTCTATCATAGCTGTGAGCACTCCCTTCTAATTAAGCTAGAGGGTTCAAATTTTCTAAAATAACTTTTTTTACTTTATATAAAAAAATTAGAGGGTGAGAATAAGTCTATTTACAACTTCACTTTTTTAATTCGTTTCTGGACCACCCTAATGATCATGTACCATTTTTAATTAATCTAGATTCAGATGATAGTAGCGATGACGACAGTTTTTTAGAAGAATATTAATTAATTATTATTTAAGTAATTGTACCAATGAATGTTATATTCATACCGGGATAAAAAGTATCTACAATATTAAACCTAAATATATATTTAATAATTACAAATTATTTTATTTATTTCACTCTTCAAAATTTAATCTTAATCTTTGACGCCGCTGGTAGGCAGTAAACAAGAGCCAACGGCTACGCCCACATGCGTCGAACTTCGCCAAGTTATAACGCGCGGACATTAACTAAATGTCAAGACTAAAAAGTAAAAATAAATTAGTAGATAAAAAAACTAAAAAACAAGTTTAAACGCACCAAACGCGTTTCTGTGACGGTAATGTTACTAGAGTAACATTACCGTAACAGAAACGCGTTTAGTGCGTTAAAACGATACGATCGTATCGGAACGAAAACGGAAACGGTATGGAAACATGCAAAATAACTAAATTCAAGTATACCAAAATTGCTAAGAAAGTATACTATAGGTAACGTTTTTAATGAAAATAAAACTATTCACGAAACTACTGGTATTGAAAATATCAGGAACAGAATGACTCGTAAACGTTTGGTTGAAACTACTAGTCCCTTTGACGAACAAATTGGTAAGGTCCGACCAAATTCTCGGTGTCTGCTATTCTCAGCAAAAAATCTGGCCGAAATCTCGTTCTCGCCGAATAAAAGGCCGAGATTCTCGGCCATGACCGAATCTCGGAAATTCAAAGCGCGAAGCATGCGGGATCAAAACGACGACGAACTCATTACCATTACCTTTTTCCTACAAACATTTAAATTACGAACTTCTTTAAATTAGTAATTATAAATGTTTATCTTTTCCGAGTTTAATACACCTTAAAGTCCCAACCCGTGATAACGTACGGAACGCAGTCTTTTGAAAATTTGTCATTTAAGGCTTTTCAGGTTTCCGTTTTTATTCCCCGAGCGTTATAATATTATTCTATAGAATATGCAGAGTTGTGATACTTTTCTTTTCCATCCCATTAATTTTTATAATTGCTTTTTACGATTGTTTGTGTTATTTTTAATTTCGGTGTTTTTTTTGTACTAGCTAGAAACGTTTCCAAACTTTTTTTATCTCTTGCGTTCAGTTTTCTCATGTTAGTGGAAACGATAACGGGAGAAATGCAGTTTTGTTTTTGTACTATGTTTTTGTAGCAATGCTTTTTACTTTTTACTGTTAAATTATATTTTACTTTAACCCAAGTCAATAAAACAAAATGTTATTAATTAAAATTGTATTACACTTACAACAGTACAATAATCAACTTTGAGTATAACATATAGCGAATAATATTATATTTTCTTTTAGCTAATATAACGAAATAAATAAGACTAACAATATATTTAAATACTAAGTACAGTACAATTAAAATCACGAATTAACTTGGAGTTAACATCCAATGTTCTTTTATACACCCGGTTCGTTATTTTAAAAATATCAAATTGACTTTTCGATTTGCTTTTAGAGAGACGCGTCTCTTGAAGGTGTTTTATATTTCTAAAGATAACAAAATGAGTGCTCTTAAAGCTGCTACAGTCATCTACACTTCATTTTGCATACAGTGCAATGTTGACTCTTGGGAAAGATCATCTAAGGTAGAATCTAAAACAAAAAGGAAAACATTTAGAACCATATTGTTTTAAAAGTCCAGTATGAGTTGCATTCACAGCAAACGGAAAAATATAGAACTGTATAGGATGACTCCCCGTTTGAATACTAAATCTTAAAGTTTTATCAGAACTGTATTGAATCGTGCTTTGTTTTTATATCGCCTCTATACCTATGCACGACTATATTTTAAGTCAAACTCAATGGTGTCTTACAAGATACATTATTTGTATTTTCTATATTTAACAGAGAGGTAGAAACTCGACCCTGTCGAATGCTGCAGTCATTTATGTCTCTAGAAATTATTGAAAAAGGGTTCAGTCCAATGGTGCAGCAACTTCGGATTCCTATTCTTTTCAGAGACATAGAAACTCAAGCTTTTCGAATTTTACTGGCAATGATTTTCGTTAATGTCCCCGAGAATTATACAAAAACAGCGCAATCCAATATCGCAACGGTTTCGACTTCTCTTTACTCTACCAAGTTATAGAAATTGGAGTCTATCTAATACTAGTATTGTTCTAGTCAATTTGAGAGTATAAAAAAGGGGGTAATTCAATATATTGCAAGAAGTTTTGATCTTTTGATGGATGCAAGTATTTAAATTTTCTCATTTCTGTATATGATTTTGTTGAAAATAGTTCCTATCTTTGGTTCCTTTGTTTGATTTTTATTTACCGTAACAACTCAGGTATGTAAAGCACAGAGGATATGATGTAAAGTATATTTATGTATTATACAAAGTACCTACATTTGTATTAAAAATTTCAGAGGTTATGTTGAAAAAATGATCGACATGCTATTAAACTTTAATAATTTAGTAATAAGGTCTGTTGGTAGACCCTGCACATCTTTACTGGTAGTTTTATGTTAGTTCAGCAATATTTAAATCTGGTTGATTAAAAAGTACACCCCAGTCCAGGTATATGTAGCATCTACGAATAAATGAATTAATGGCCCATTGGCAATTATTCCTTTAGGAAAAATATTCAACACAGCTTAATTAATTAATAAAATGAAAAAATCACAATCATGTCGTATATAGTTTTTTTCAAGCATAAAATAATTTTCATATTAATACTAGTTCAAAAGTCAAATTACGACCTCTATACTGTGGAGAGTATTGAAACGCTCGACTGACGAATACAACTCTATACCGTGGCGAGGGTTTAGAAAACTGTATTAAAACGTGGCGTCATCCAATACAGTTCTATATTTTTCCGTTTGCTGTGTTGTGGATATTTTAATATCTTACCAGGTTGGGAGAATATTGAAGAAGCCTTATTGTTATTTTGAAAGGAATAGGTAAGGTGCAAATTAATGTGTCTTCCAAAGGAATCATCTCTACTGTTATGCACTAAAAGTTAAGACAAAGATAATAATTTATTGTTATAATAAAAATTAAATTAAAGGAAACTAATGAACAAAAAAATACTTACATGCTGTTTTGACTTTTCCCGTATGCATGTGCTTCTTTTGTCTAGCTCGCGAATTTTGAAACCAAACTTGAGTGACCCGTTTACTGAGCCCAGTTATCTGGGCTATGCGCTCCAGATCCTGACCGTCCGGGTTCGAGTCCAACTGAAAATTTGCCTGGAGAACCTGAAGCTGTTCCTCCGTAAAAGTGGTCCTCACCCTCTTAGCCTTATTTTTATGATATCCTTCCGCATCGCAACCGTCTAGAGAAACAATAAAACTTTTAGAATTATGAAGATTATTTTGTGTATTTTCTTCGTACCATCTGAAGATGTGGTACCGCCGTCCAAAGTTTCCAAGTAGTGGGCTTTGCAGAGCACTCTGTCTTCGTGGAGGGCGAATTCTTCGCCCGTCGAAAGCTGTCGGTGGCATGCGGCACAGGAAAAACACGCCAAATGGTACACGTGGTCTCTGGCTTTTCGCACCCAGTCGCTGGAGGAGATACCGCGTGAGCATACCGAACATTTGGCCCCGAAACTTCTGGAACAAATTAAAGGGTTAGTAAGAAGGAAACAATGCTTAGAATATATTTAATACCCTAGCTTTACTTATTTTAAATAGTTATGTATAAACAACGTTTTTTATCTACAATCAATACTTTAGTCTCCAAATACGATTTACTGTTATTTTAGAAGATTTTCGAGTAGAACGGCAATTTGTAAAGACCATATTCAACTTACAGACTTGCTTAAATGGACATTTTTGAAGATAATTTCAACCTGTATAAAGATTTTAAAACCGAAATTCGAAAAAAATATTTTTACTGTACGAGCGGAAGGAGAAAAGAATAAACAATTGTTTTTAATGGTTTTTAAATGGAAATATTCAAAAATTGAATAGCAACGGCTTAAAATAAAGATTAAGAGCATTGTAATAGCTCAACATTTTTGTTTTTCAATTAATTATTAAAAGAAAAAATAGGTAGTATGCTCCACACTAGGGTTTTAAAATTTCCTGAAAAATTGACTTTTGTATTTTTTTCATTTTTTCTAATACAAACATGATCCGTACACTGGTATCGAGAAAAAAGTGAATTTCCGACGCTGATTTGTTCATAATATTATGATTATAATAATTATTCATTTTATTTTAATTCAGTAATACTATTCTACCGGGCCTCAAAAAAACATATTCGGTGCTGTATTAACATACAAACTTTCATTTTATTTAACACTAAAACTATAATTTTGTAATTTAACTTTATAAATCATTTATTATTTTGTAATTGGATATTTTAAATAAACCCAACCAACAGTATATTTAACGATTACGTTTATTTTCTTAAATAAATTTAATTTAATTAATTTTTTTTCTGTAATAAAGGATATTTTTTTTATTAAAATATTTTTAATAATGTTAAGTTGTTAATTGCTACTTTTTTTTAAAAAGAAATCAATTTTGGGACTTAATTTAGTACTACATTTATCTTCAAGCGGCCTATAAATTAAACTTTATTTGCGTCAACAATCGACACTAAAGTGATTGATTATTACATAGTAAACATGAAAATTTGACGAATTAGTTTCTAGGCGTCAGTAATTAATTGGCCAATTTTATTGTTTACGCTCATTTGTACCAATCGGGTTTAAAGTTAATGAGAAACTCATAAAATTCGACATCTGTCAGACGGTTCTAACCTCACTTTTTCCTTTTAATAATAATTATTACACGTTTTATGTGTTGTTTAACCAATAAAATTGACTTTAAAATAAAATGGTGTATGCTATTCGGTCTAGGTGTTTTTGTGCTTCGCTTAATTGTATTGTGTTCAAAATTTTAGCTCAGCACAAAAAGACTTACAATTCTTGGCCTAATGACAAAAATAACCATTAAATACCTAGGTATTTTTTTAATAAGAAAAAAGAAAGAAAAATCAATTCTAGTAAATTTTTAATTAATTATATGTATAAATATAAATTGTATGTTTAAATACTACAAAACTATACTATAAAAAACATAAATAAATTCTAAAAATTAGCTTTAAAGTATATCCTAACATTTTTGATATTAAAATAAAGCGGGCTTTTGTTGCACAAATGGCGAATGCGCCGGGATTAATTAATTAATATAGATTATAATCTATATTAATTAATTAATAATTATTAAATTAGTACCTATTGAAAATATTAAATATTTTTTAAATTTTTTACCTAAATAAATTTACTATGAACTTTGTTAATAAGTACAGTACTTAAGTAGGTTTTAATATTGTACTAATTTTACACCAATTATACTGAATAATTGTTTTTAAATTTTTCAGTGCACCTGAAAATATCACAATTGTATCACTTATCGCATCAACAGCGTTAAAGCAAAAAAGGGAAATTCGTGTTAACTTTTTCGTTACTTTACTTTTAACCTTGAAAGTCACGTGAGATGACCACGTGACCGATCTGACGCTCGAAAACAACCGGCGAGCGTCAGCATGAAATAAAATAGCCCCCTTTTGTATTTTAGTTAGATTTAATAGTCATTTATGTCATAGGGCTTGGAAGTGAAGCCTACAATTGAGCGAAGCACAAAAATACCCTTCTCAGTCTAATGACATACAACATTTTATCTTCAAGGCACAGCTTTATTTGTTAAAAGACATACAATTTTAATAATTATTATTAAAATTAGAAAGTATTTTTACATTTTAGGCGATAATCAATTACTTTAGTAACGAGTTTTGACAAAAATAAAGTTTCAATTATGAAACGCTTAAAGATTAAAAATTATCAGGGTTCGAAAATATCATGATATTTATATAAATATCAAAATATCGGATATATATATACATATCAACATCTTGATATTTATTTTTTTATCTATTTCTTTTAAGCTTTTGGTCAAAAATTAATTATATTAGCCAGAATAATAAAAAATTAATAAATTTATTTAAGAAAAGTAAACAAAACATTTATAAAACAAAAAATAAATTCTTTACAAAAAAATTATAACATTAAATTTTAATTTTAAAAAATATTAATTAAAAGTTTATCATATATTTTTATTACTTTTATAACGGCAATTGTAACAAAGCCCTACCATAGATTAATTAATTAAGAAAATAAAACTAACACAATCAAATGGACGACTTCGCGGCCAGTATACAATTTTGACAATAAGGTATTCTTTTAGACAATGCGCAGGATTAAACGAACAAATTAAAGAAATTTTAAATAAAAAAATCACATTTTTAAATTATTAACTGTAAATTTTGTGTTTATCAAAATCTACAAATATTTATTAAATATTTTAGTAAAGTATGTATATAATTTTCTTAATTAGAGTCTTTATTTCCATTCTACGAATTTAATTTAAATTCGTAGAATGGAAATAAAGACTCTAATTAAGAAAATTATATACTTTTTTAAAATATAATAGATCATCCTTGAAAAAATTAATTGCAAGTCATCTTTGAAAAAATATATTAAAAATTTAAAATGGTATAAAATCTGTATAATTTGGTTTTTTTAAATGAAATTTCAAATTTGTCTATAAACTATGGTAAATAATAAATTGCACCAATTAAATTTATATTATTATAATTTATATTTATTGGGGGCGCCATGGGGCCGCTGCGGCCAAGCAAAAAGTTAACTTTTTTTCGCAAACTTCAATTTAAATTCTGCTTGCGCAGAACTTGTTTATTTAATGTCATTATAAACTCATATACATTTGGTGTGGGTCCCATATCTAATAATTGAGATTTCGGTATACCCAAAATCCACCAGCCGCCACTGGATATATATCGGTGATATTGATCGAACCCAGAAAATTATAAAACATAAGTAAACACTACAAAATATACATTTTTAAAAAAATGCCCAAATAATTATTATCCCTTAAATAATGTCCATTTTTGTTTTAATTTTTTGTATGCAAAGGATGCAAAAATGTTTTACAACACCTTTTATTCCACTAATTAACGCATAATAAGTAAAAAAATACTAACTCTAAAACACCTTTACCAATCTTTATGAAATTTTGTATAAGAATATCTTAACTTATATCTCAGTTTACGTGTTCGAGGGTTTTTCGAGAAAATATTTTTAAAGACCTTTTATTTAATATTAAAAAAAACGCTCGAATAAAACTTTTATAGGGATTTTTTTAAGTAAATAAAAAATATGCTGTTAAAGACCGTATTTTTGTTAGTATACCCTAAAAATTTTGTACAAATCAAACGAACAGTAACGAAGATACAGCGCTTCAAAGTCGGTAAAAATGGCTTCTTTTTTATTATTTTGCTGAAAAGTGGTCATTTTTACCGACTTTGAAGGGCTGTATCTTCGTTCCTGTTGGTTTGATTTGTACAAACGTTTCAGGGTATACTAACAAAAATACGGTCTTTAACAGCATATTTATTATTTACTTAAAAAAAATTCTCTATAAAAGTTTTTTTCGAGCGTTTTTTTTTAATATTAAATATAAGGGCTTTAAGGATATTTTTTCGAAAAACACTTGAAAACGTAAACTGAGATATAAGTTATAGTATTTTTATCCACAATTTTATAAAGATTGGTAAAGGCGTTTTAGAGTTTTTTTTTACTTATTATGCGTTAATTTTGACGGGCAGTGTATTATTTAAAAAACAAAATGTAAATTAAAAAAAAATGCGGCAAATAAAAAAATAAAAAAAAATCTTTAGTCAAAATGTTTTAAAGGCACTCTCTAAAAATGAACTGGTCAAAAATGACTAATTGTCTTAGCGAAAAAGCATCCAGTGGATGCCATCCACTAATAATTCTCGTCAATAGCAATTTGTATCACAAACATTTAGCAGTCAATTTCCATGTAAAATTGTCCCCTGAATCTGAAAATGTCGTCAAAAGTTAGAAAAGTGAAACAGTTTTTGAGATATACATACCTTGTCAATTTTCCATGTAATATGCAATTAACTATATCTCAAAAACTGCTCTACTTTCATAATTTTTGACGGTATTTTCGGATTCAGGGGACAATTGTACATTTTGTAGATAAGTTTTGAGTATTAAAATCATTATTAAAATTGAATTTAATTAAATGCACAACAATTATTATACCACCCATAGTAAATTAATTATCTATTTATACTTTTCCTATCAAATGATCTGCAACCTGATTCAAATTGTTGAGAAACATTTATAATAGATGGTATAGAATATAAAGTTTTAAGGTGAAATGTCACTGCTAGGTAGGTAGATACTGATTTTAAATGAGATAAAGATCAAAATCGAACACCTTTCTCATGATTAAATCTACGAGTCCCCGAAATCGTATAGACTATAGTGTGTATAACGCGTCAATATCGACATTTTATGGTAATCGATGGTCGATTTGGGATTTTTGACAAGTAATAAACAGTCGGAGTTTCCGCTATTAAGGCAGAGCAGTAAGTAATTCGGATGCGCGTTCGAGAACGCCCACCCGAAAACTGTAAAATGTTAATTAAACAATTATCGAATTGTGGAATCCGGTCCGCTCGGGTTGTTTATTTCTCAACGGTGGCTGAA